CCTTTTTTCTCTGCGGGGTATCATGTATGTGTGTGCATCCGATCTTCCTTTTCAAAATTCATGTTGTGGAATGACCAAATGCACCTAAGGTTGCTCCAATTTCAGGAAAGTGGAAACATCTTGTCATTTGTAAAGCGTAAAGCCAGCCTCCTCCTGTGGAATCCAGAAACACCCTGACTAAATTTTTAGTGGTTTCCCCAGTTTGGTCGTGCTCATTGCTAAATGCATTTTTGATATAACGAGAAAAGAGCAGAGGTTGTGGTTTCCACACATACATACCTGTGGCTGTCTCTTCTTGTTCCATCACTGTCTCACACAATCCCTATAGCGAGACCTAACTTGCCATGGGTAAAACCGCATTGTGTTGCGTTACCAGGAAATCTCCAAGAGAATGAAACAGGCCAGCCACACAGTTCCCCTTTGAAGGTATGAAGCTGACAATGTCATTTTAGTTGTTTTGTCTCTTCCTCTCAGAGAAATAATGTTTGGAAAAAGCTCCAAACACTGTATACATTATTTATTTATTTATATTGCTCTTTCCTTTTACATGTCTAAGCCTTTTCTATAACTTTCCCCATTATGCAGTATATGCATTTGGCTAAATAAAGCCAGCATAGCTATTTAAAACATGGAGGAATGATTTGTAAGTTAACAGATGATACAACCTACTTTCTATTCTCATGGCTAATTATTTCTGTTCCGACCAAACATTTAGGCTTTGAAAGCCTCAGGGTTTTGAATACCGATGTTATCATATCAAGATACTTGTTGCTGAGAAAGATAAAATATGGGCAATTCAAATGTACAGTGGTTTTCAGCATGAGTCAGGGACCACAGCATCAGCCGGGCACGCCTTAGAAGTGCAAATTCTCATGTCGCTGCACCCCACCCAGCCTACTCAGACAGAATTCGGGTGGGGTCCTGTCATTTCTATTTTAACATTTATTTAAAGTGTGAGAACCAGCTCCAGTCATTCTGACACGCTTGCACTCACTTGTGGATACTAATCAAGGCAGGTAGAGCAAGCACGTGACTATCCACGCTGAGAGATGTGTACGTTAGACCCTGATTCTTTGCATTTCACGGTATGGAAATCTGCTTCAGACACTAACCACGACATCGCCACATCCGTGTTATAAATGTGAATGGGGGAGGTATATCAGGTGAAAAAATTGGTAAACCAAAGATTGGATCTTGCCACTAAGTAGCTAACAAAAGCCACAAGCCTGTCATTGTTTTAAAGTGTCCCCAAGGCTGCACTCCCACCACTGCGGAAGCCTCTCCCTGTGTCGATCGTGTGGCCGTGAGCCTGGTCTCCCGTGTCACCCCTCTGAGTTTGCCTGCCTCCGTCTTTATGTGTCTGTCCCTCTTCCTTTTTACTTCTGGGTCACCGTACCCGTTCAGTCTCTCTCTGTAGCAGAAACCTGCTATTATTTTGTTCTTACTGACCTAATGTACTGCACTTATGCAAGGGTTTTGCATTCCCTTTTAATTTCAGAAGCAAACAAGTGGGATAATTTGTTACCAAGAGGTAAAAGCTAAATGAGATTGCACTGCTTTTCAATGTATGTGAGAGAGATTGTGAGGGGATTTTTCCTTCCCCCTCGAGCTCCTTTTGCTTTAATTTTGTCGGTGTGATTTCACTGAGGTACAACGCATGCATGAATGTCCATCAAGATGACTTTTCACAATGCAAACATACCCACGCAGTCGCCACCCAGATCAAGACCTGGAACATTCCCGACGTCCAGACACCCTTCCTCCCCCACGCCTCCTCCCAGTGTAAACACAGCCCTGACTCCTAAAATCCTAGGCTCGGGATACCAGTTTGGGGCTTTATAGAAAAGGAATCACACCATATGTTTTATTCTGTGTCTGTGTCTGCAAGTCAGCCTTATGCTGGTGAGATTCATGCAGGTAGCATGAGTCTGTTTTCATTGCTGTAGTATAATTACATTGTGGGAAACACCACAACTCATTTATCCACTCTCCTGTTGGTGAACATTTTGAGGGTTTCCAGTTTGAGGATATCACAGATTCTTATATGTGATATTTGGTACACGGTATGTATGGATTTCTTTTGGGTGTTTACCTAGGAGTGGGATTGCTAAGTCATAGGAGATGCACACACACACACGCGCACAACATTCAGTTGTCACAGAGACTGTGAACCAGTTTGCTGAAGTGGCTGTAACAGGTACCACTCCCACTAGTCATGTATAAGAGTTCTAATTGATTCACATCCTTTCTAGCACTTAAATATTGTAAGTCGGTAATTTTAGTCATGCTGCTGGGTGTGCAATGGTCACTCTGTGTGGCTGTAATGTGCATTTTCTTGATAGCTGATGGCACTGAGCACCAGTGTTTGTTTATTTATTTTTTTAGCTATCCTCTTTTGTGAAAATCCTATCAAATCTTTGCCCATTTTTCTATTGGGTTGTCTTAGTTCTGTATTCTAGATAGGAACCTATGGCTGGATATATATTTTACATACAGGATGTCCCCCCAAAATGTATACAGACTTTTTTCTGATAGCTCAATAGATGTTTCTTTCTTTTCAGATTTAGCCCATTGGAATTAATAATTATTCAAAGTGTGTATACATTTTGGGGGACACCCTATATGTTCTCCTATTCTTTATCTTTAGATGAATAGAAGTTCTTTTAATGGCAGTCCTTTCCTTTATGATCCTATTAAAGAACTTCTGCTATCAGAAAAATGTTCTTCCACATTCTAGTCCAGAATCTGTAGATTTACATGTAAATACACAATCCAGCTGGAAATGATTTTTACGTAAGGGCTAAGGTGGGAATTTCATATCCTTTTCAGCTGTATGTGCTATCTCAGGACCATTAGAGTGCAGGTGTTTTTGTTTATTTTTCTTTTCTTTTTTGCTTTATGTATTCTCCCCTTAGTTTTCTATTCTAGAATAGTTTCTGGTTTACAGAAAGCTGCACAGGTAGTAAAGAGAGCTCCCCGGTCCCCTTACCAGCCTCCCACGTGACTGTAGTGCATTTGTCATCACTGAGGACGCCATAGTGATATGTCATTATTAGCTAAGGTCCGCACGTTGTTCAGACCAGGACCATCAGTTTTTGATGAATGAAACTGCAGCTGAGGGATGCTTTGAGGCCACATCCTCTTAACTAACGCTTAGTAAGCAAGTCCATCATCCTAAAGAGTCAGCTGTCTTTGGTCCCAGCCTGAGCTGGAGAACTCAGCAGGACTCCTGGAGTGTGAACTTGGGTCCTGTGAGATCATGGGTAGGGAGAGCGGAAATCCTCAATTAAAGGCCCTCAGGTTGTGCTCAACTTAAACTCTCACCCCTAGTATTCTGCCTTTCTGAGTTTTAAAAGTATAAGGAGTAGCCTTCTCCTTAAGTTCTATGGACTTTAGTTTTAAAATATACTGATGATGAACAGCTTCTAACTTCTATTTTTAGTCACATGCTGTACATTACCTATCTTACAACTGGAGTTTGTACCTTTTGACCCCTTCACCCTTTCATCACCCCCACCTCTAGCAATCACCAATATGGTTTTTAGATTACATGTGTAAGTGAGATCACGCAGTATTTGTCTGTGTCTGACTTATTTCTCTTGGCATAATCCCCTCAAATTCTATTTGTGTTATTGCAAATGGCAGGATTTTCCTTTTTTTATGGCTGAGTAATCTATTGTGTGTATATAATGTACCACATTTTCTTTATTCATTCAGTCATTGATGGACACTTAGGTTGCTTTCATGTCCTAGCTATTATAAATAGTGCTGCAGTGAGCACAAGGGACACAGATATCTCAAGATAGTATTTTTGTTTTATTTGGATAAATACCCAGAAGTGGGATTGCAGGATCATATGTTAGTTCTATTTTCCATTTTTTGAGGAACTGTTTGAGGACCCTCCATACTGTTTTCCATAGTGGTTACACCAATTTACAAGCCCACCAACAGTGCATAATGGTTCCCTTTTCTCTACATCCACATTTGTTATTTCTTGTCTTTTTGATAATGACCATTCTAACAGGTATGAGGTGATAGCTCATTATGGTTTTGATTAGCATTTCCCTTGTGGTTAGTGCCACTGGGCATCTTTTCATGCACTTGTTGGCCATCTGCATGTCTTTGGAAATGATGTCTATTCTGATCCTCTGCACATTTTTTAATCGATTTGTTTTTCTCTTCTGTTGAGTTGTATGATGTATATACCATGGTTTAACCCTAATAGGTAGATATTGTCTCTCATTTTGTAAGTTGCTTTTTTATTTTGTTGATGGTATTTTTTGCTATAAGCAGCTTTTTAAATCAATGCAGTCCCACTTGTTTGTTTTTGCTTTTGTTACCTCTGCTTTTGCTGTCAAATCCAAAATATCATTGCCAAGACTGAAGTCGGGGGACTTACCTCTTATTGTTTTCTTCTAGGAGTTTTACGGGCTCGGATCTTGTACTTAAGTCATTAATCCATGTTGGATTGGGTTTTGTGTGCAGTGTAAGAAAGCTCATTGTGACGAACAGCTTTTTCTAGAGTCAGCATTCGTGTGGGTGCCGTGGCCAGGGAGGCCTCAGTGTGGCCCTGGGCCTGGGATGTGAGTGTAAGCTGTACGCCTGACCCGTCTCCTCTCCTGTTCTCGGCGTGGGCCTGGCAGCGTCGCCATGACCCCTGGTTCTGAGGAAAGCAAGACACACGGCCTTTGCGGCAGGCTTGCCCCTACTTGCCTCCTGTAGACTTAGCAAACTGAAGAGGTGCCAGTGTGTTTCAAAGTCTCACTATCCTACTCTTTACTGTAAAGTGCAGACTGACGCCCCGACCACCTTTCACCCTGACAGCAGACATTTAAATTATAGAGAGAAAGCCGGCAGGCCGGCCAGCCACCCCATTCATGTTCCATGAAATAGCCGTTGTTCCTAACCCACCGTCACCCCGTCCAGATGACCCCCCGCTGATGCATTGACCTGATGCACGCACGCCCACGTGGCCCTTGTCTTTGCCCTGCTCTCCTCAGCACCATGAGCTCCCGCCACTCCGCCAGTCCCGTCGTCTTCGCCAGTGCCCGGAGTTCCCCCAAGGAAGAGCTGCATCCGGCCACCTCCTCGCAGCTCGCACCCTCCTTCTCCTCCTCCTTGTCCTCCTCGTCTGGTCCTCGGACTTTCTACCCTCGCCAGGGCGCCACTAGCAAGTACCTGATTGGATGGAAAAAACCCGAAGGAACCATAAATTCTGTGGGATTTATGGACACAAGAAAGTAAGAATTCTTTTGTTTCTCTTACTGGGTGGTCTGCTTGTAACATGTCAGAGAACAGAAAGTTTGAGGCAATTTTCTGTGGCCGAGGTAGCCAGGCTGGGAAGTAGGGAAGAGTTGATTTGGTAGGGAGATTATTATTGTTGTTGTTGTTGTTGTTATTTTGGTTAATCCTCACCTGAGGATATTTTTTCGATTAAATTTCAAAGAGAGTAGAAGGAAGGGAGGGAGGGAAGGGGAGAGAGAGAAACAGCAACATGAGACTCATGTGGTTGCCTCCCGCCTGTGCCCCGACCACGGCAGGGCATCGAACTTGCAACCCAGGTATGTGCCCTCGACTAGGAGTCAAACCCATGACCATTCAGTGCATGGGCCGAAGTTCTAATCACTGAGCAGCACTTACTTTTTCTAAGTAAAACTTGTCTTAAATTATCTCTCCCACTCCATTCCTTAAATAAGATGTATTGCAGTATATTCAGATTTGAGAGTCTTAGATCTCCTAGGAAACAGTATATTAGTATCCCCTTATCCATGGGGGATACATTCCATAACCCTCAGTGGATTTTTTTTTTACATTCATACTTTTGATAGTTTATAAATTAAGCACAGTGTGAGAGTAACAATAACTAATAACAAAATAGAACAATTATAACAACATATTGTAACCAGGTTATGTGAATGTGGTCTCTCAGTGATAACGATTTGATAACTGGGGCAGCTAGGAGGGAACTAATGGATGGGTAGTGTACCCATCTGGGGATATGCGGGACAAAGGGATGATTCACGTGCCGGGCAGGAAGGTACATGCTTCATTCACACCACTCAGAATGGCACACAGTTTAAAACAAGAATTGTTTATTTCTGGATTCTTGCATTTAATACTTTTGGATCATGGTTGACCCTGAGTAAATGTAACCTCAGAAAGCAAAACCTCGGGTAAGAGGGAAGATGGTATGTCTGAAGAACACACTTCAGAAAAATCAAGCCTCTGGTGCAAAGATCCTCACCCTCCCCCACCCCCTTTGATGGTATTAATCACAGCCTTCCCATCTGGTTCTTAACTGGGCCAGGAGGCACCAGAGGGAACATTAGAAAGTAAGTGACTACATACATATAAAGGACTGACTATAAAGGCCTTTTTACAAAGTAGTAGCGCAAAAAAAGAATAAATGATTCATTCAATTACATTGTTTTTGTCTACACAAAGATTGCATTTGGGATTTATACCCTGTGTCTTTTATTAAAAAGTCTGTTGCTAATTTTGGCTTGGTAGAGCTAATTGTTTCCTGTAAAAGAATGATTTTTTTTATCAGACTTTTTAGTTTATGTTTCAAACTGGTTTCATTTCTTCAACAATTACTTATCTGAGTAGTTTCCACTGTAATTGAACAGAAGTAATTCTTCTTTTCTCTCCTATAACATCTCTCTAATGACTTACATCCTTCCCAGCCCACTGTGACCTTGGGTCCACTGGACTGAGTCAGTTCATGCCATCTCTCTCTCCTTTATTCAAGGCGTCATCAGAGTGATGGCAATGAAATAGCCCACGCCAGGCTGCGGGCCTCCACCAGGGACCTCCGAGCATCTCCCAAGCCAGCCTCCAAGTCCACCATTGAGGAGGATCTCAAGAAACTCATCGACCTTGAAAGCCCAACTCCCGAATCCCAGAAGAACTTTAAGGTACAAGACAGAGCTTGGGGCAAATCGCAGTTAGAGAGAGGCCAGACAGGCCGGAGCTGCTCGCCAGTTACTCCCTCCAAAAAGGTGGTTCCCAGCTCCCCCCCATTGAAACCTCTTCCCACCATCACCCAATCTTCCTAATAATTAGCTCACAGTGTTTTCCAAATGTTCTGTTCCTGCAGCGACATCCCTTTAGTCTGGGTGAATGTCAGCCTGTCCTACCCCCAGGTTTCCTGCTCTTCCTTGGACATGACTCTCCAAGTGCCATTGTTCCTCGGAACTCCACAGAGGCATCTGGGGCCCCAGTCAGACGGACATTTTTCTCTAAGGGCTTTAGTGCCTTCTATCCAAAGGGCTCCCCTTCCTGTGTGCCCTCAGCACTCTGCACCCTGGCCTGCTTCTGCCCCAACACTGGCCCTCCCCTGCGTGCTCTAGTCCAGCAAATGATCTGCACACTCACCTTCAGAACCTCCAGGCTCTCTCCACTTCATAAAGCCTCCTCCCCCTCCCGCTCAGAAGTCCAGGCTGCAGGGCCTTCTCTAGAACCCAGGCCCTGCCCATCCTGTCCCAGAACCCGTTCCCCCTCCCCATTTGCTTAGAACTGGTTCGTGTGTCAGTGGCTGCACCTTTGCATAGCCATGTGGAAGGTTTGTTCCTCTCACCTCAGCTTGGACTCTCTGCCCTTGTCCCCTGAGGTGAGCAGCACTCAGGGCTCAGAGCCCGTGTGTGTTGAGCGGGGCCCAAAGGTACTCACTGTGAGCATGAGGCACTTCTGTCTGCAGTAGCAGGTAGTCCCAGGAGAAGGGCATCTACCCAGGAAGGTGGCAGTGAACGTCGTTGTGTTCTGTTCACCAGGTTCTTAGATGAATGATTTGTAGTCTGTTTGACGTGACTGGCAAGCTTCATTTAAGGACTATGAGAATTGATTAAAAATGGAAGCTAGACTGTTAACTACTCACCACCCGCAGACTGTGACCAGAAGCAGGAAGCAAGCCCTGCAGGAGCCCAGTGGTCGCCTCCCATTCAGCGTTCTCAGCACACATGCATTTTCCTCCAGGCGGGCCAGACACACCTCCTAAACTTAGAGTCAACATCGACAGCACTGAGGTGGACTCCAAAGCCCATTCTTGAGTTTTGCAAAAGAAATGATTTATTAACATAAACATTAAGATCATAAATCATTTTAAAGATTTGCCATTCTTGATTTCTGTTCTATAAGCCAGCACTTAACAGTTCTGACTCATCACCCGGGGTACAAACCGTTTCCTTAGCAACCTCACAAAAGATAGCACTTGAAATTTCTCTGTCCATCGAAACCCAATGAGGTGTATTAAATGCTTAAGGACCAGTTTAAAAATAAAAATTATTTGACATTTTTCCTTTGATTTAGAGGAGAGTAAAACTTGCCGTGAAAGAAATCTGTCCTCCAAGTCTTAGTGTAACATTTTTGTTAAGGGGCAAGTTTAACGCTCGCCTTCTGATTCACTCCTGCGCTGGAAGTAATTGAAAGCAAATGTCCGTTTTGCTGTTATTTTAGGTCTTGGCTTTTATTTCCAAAATGAATTACTTTAACATTCCTATTTGAAACAGGGGTGCACGTTCTTTAAGCTGTGATTATGTGACTGTCAGACCCTCTAAAAGTAAATCCTTCTGCTGAAACTATTACTATAAAAAGGCTGGAAGCAGGAGCTGGAAATAGCCTGTTTTCTCTCCAGTCCCATCCTTTCTGGTTTGGTTTCAGATGAGCTCAGCGAAGGAGCTCTGTGTGTCTTCTGAGACTGACTAAATGCCTGTGGCTCTGCTGTGTCAGGAAGGCCAGTGTGCCCTTGAGAACCTTCCAGGTCACACCCAGCTCAGGGCTCCAGGCCACTGCGTCAGGCTCCAGATGCCAGGAGCGGCAGCTTCAGGCTGTGACCCTTGGAGCCACTCACACCACGTTGGCTTTATTGGCCAGCAAGAAACCTCCTTGGCAGGCAGAGATGGGATAACCCTATTTTCTTTTTTAATCTACGCTTTTTTAAAATAAATTTTTAAATGTTTTTATTTGCTTTTAGAGGAAGGGAGGAGAAAGAGCTAAAAACATTAGTGATGAGAGAGAAACATTGATCGGCTGTCTCCTGTATGCCCCCTACTGGAGATCAAGCCCATAACCCGGGCATGTGCCCTGGCGGGGAATGGAACTGTGACCTATTGGTTCATGGGTGGATACTCAACCACTGAGCCACGCCGGCTGGATGAATACCCCTATTTTCTATGAGGGCTGCATACAGTGGCAAGTGCACAGACAATAGTGCAAACCAATAGTCCTGCTAGCGCTCAGGCACAGACCAAAGGAAGAGGCCTCACACAGCTCCCGGGTTCAGGAAGACCTGACACCTGCTTGTTGCAAGTGCGGGTGCTCCCATTTCCCTGGGAGCCAGGAGGGCTGCAGAAGTGGGAGAACAGCAGACTGACCTGGAGCAAGGCGCCACCTCGCCAGGCTGTGTTCCTAGGCTTTGAAATAGAAGGCCAGAGTATGTCAGTGGCGCCCAAATGATTTTAAAGCACAAAAATCCTTTTATTGAATAAAAGTATACGTGGAAGTCCAATATGTAGGATGAGAAAGCAGGGCCTCTCTGATGAGAGGGGTGGGTGTCATGGCCCTGGGTCCCACCTGAACATCTCCACTCCACAAGCAATGAGGCTGTGGTGAACCCTGAAGGCTCCTGGGAGCACAGCTTGGAAACCCCCAGCCTGATGCTCTCGATCCTTTCCCAGTCAGCCATCAACTCCATGAGGTTCTTCCCAGGGGCTGGCAGCCCTCGGTGGGGCCACTCGGCAGTCTCAGGCCTGACCTGCCAGGAAGGTAGAGGGGGCGCTTGCCGGAACCAGAGGTGTGCACCTTTAAGACTGGAATTGAAGTGGGGATGGGGTGAGGAACCACCCTCACGAGTTTGGACAAGACTAGGTCCTGCTACTCTTAATGCGCAGAAAGCCTCTGGGCCTGGGCCGATGGCTTCCTTCCGTCTCCTATCCGACCTCCCTTTCCTGCAGGATGTTAGAGCTTATAATAAAGCACACTGCTCAAAGGGCCTCTTCCAGGCAGTGTTTACTGCTCTGAAGTGCACCAGTATTTTCTGATGAGACTGGAACTGGAATTGGTGGAAATTTCCCTCCTGTAAAACCATCAGGGGGGGAAACTAAGATGGCGGCATAGATAAACATCGGAAAGTTGATGCCGCTCACAACAATTGATTAATACCTCAGAAAAACAATTCGGACATCATCCAGAACCACAGGAAGCCTGGCTGACTGTAAATTCTACAACTAGAAGGAAAGAAAAGCACACTAAAAGCCAGAGAAGCTGCAGAAGAGAAGCACAGAGGTAGGGGGCTCGCGCGCGCGGAAAGGGGCTGGCACCTGAGGACGCGGCTGTCTTTTTGAATCCGGAGGGAGTCAAAAGCTCCCGATGG